GCGTAATTGGCAAGAATTTTGAATTGGTTTTGAAGAAGGAAAAGAAGAAACTAAGGAAATAGAAATAAAGGAGTCGAGAAACACGTAAATATCTTAACGCAGAACAAGAATAAACAACTATGTATGTATCGCAAAATGAGTAATAAAAATAAAACAAAACAGAATAAATTAATAAGTAAATAACTTATTATTGCGGTAAGATATGACGTTAGAATAAGTGTTTGTGCGTGTTCACAGTCATAGTTTTGGGTGATGCTATGAAAGTTTCAATTAAGTGAAAAAGATAATCAATGTGTATGAGGTGTATATACACAGTGAAGATAAAACGAATCTGATTAGTTGAATTCAGCTTAACACAAATTATTGTCTTAATCCAAAGCTTTGGAATCTTAAGAATAATATTTATTTAGAAGGAAAAAAAAGAAAAAATTGAAAATTGGTCCTGTCAAATTTTCTCGACGATAATGCCAAATCGAAAGCCATAGTAAATATGACGGTCCCATCTAAAGAGTTAGGCAGACACCTCAATCAAAGCATTAAAGAGATAAGATCGACCGGTATTTCTATCATAACAACGTAAAAAATAGTGAGAGAGATGCATTGGACGCGACACTATGACAGTTAATTTTATAACGAAATCAAATAAAGTAGTCCTGAACAGTGTCTTTACTGCAGTTAGAACCAAAAAGTATAAAAGTACACACATTGGTTTTCCTGGGCAAAAATTAGTCCCTTGCAAGTAGGAAGCAAGGTTCTGCCAAATACAGATAAGATGAAAATGATTCAAGGATTTTCCAGAACAAGCAGTTACTATGGTACAATGGTCATGTTGGGAAGATCAAAAGTACAATTTCTATCTAACAAGGAGAGAGATAAAACACATATGGAATAAGACCAATCAAGAGCAAGTTCTTCGACACGGACAAAGCACAGAAAATTCAAGTAAATCAAATAAAAAAATGATGGAACAACAATAAGGGCAGTACTCATGTCAAAGGCCTAGCCTTCAATTCTTGTGTTAGCGACATGGTAGTATCAGCCGTAAATAAACCCAAAAAAACAGATTGTGTGTCATTACAGTCGAAAAGAAGTGACACGATACATATCAGCAAGAAACAAAGAAGTTATAGGGAAAAATATACATGTATAGATTTACCTACTTGTTGTACTAGAACCTACCAGACTAAATTCCACAAACACTTCTCACTTTCACGAATTAGCCAAGAATTAGTATCATGTTCTTTCGGTCGATTTATTAGTTTTCAGTGCCGTTCTTCGTTAAACGTCTACTTCAAAAACCGTTATAATACAAATCCTAACGGTGCATGAAATCAGAAGGCAAAGAGAAGCGGCAACTACAGTTCATTGTCGAATAGCGCATGCCAGAAAGCTATGAGCACATGAGCATATAACAGCGAGCGAAGAAAAAACGACACGCATTGAAGATGGCAGGTAGGCCAACTCGCTTTAATCAAGCGTTAATCAATATTTATAGTCAGATAAGAATAAGTTACAGACATGTGATGAATAGGATAAGAAGTGTACACACACCTACGTTCATATAAAGAATAGTCAGGGTTAATAAGTGAATAATTAACAAGGTTAAAATATGATTCGTTACGGATAGGTGAATGGGCTTGTCCAGAAGCTAGAATAAGGGTATATGGGCTTAACATATCAACTGACACAACATGCGTGTGTAACAAAAGAGCTAGATCATCTACGGAATCTAGATTGTTAAGCTGCATCTTAGCTGTCCAATGTATCTCGTGCTTCCCTCAAGATTCTGACGTCTTCATGATCCAATCGGTCACCAGGAGAAAGGGTGAGAGTAAGCAAACTTGACTGACACCGGCCTTTATCTCAAACGAGTCAGTGAGTTGTCCTCCGTACACGATTTTGCAGAATAATCCACCATAGAAATTTTGTATGATATTGGCTGTCTCCTCAGGCACTACGTAGTTTCGAAGAAGCCTCCATAGTGTTGTCCTGTCCGCGCTATCAAACGCTTTCTCGTAGTCAGTGAAGTTGATGTAGAGTGATGAATTTAATTCAATTGATACGTAGAGTTGCGATTTGGTCTGTATACAATCGATTCTTACGGAATACATCCTGTTGATCTCAAAGTTGGGAGTCTATAGAGTCCTTTATTCTGTTTAACAATACTCTGTTGAAGACTTTTCCTGGTATTGAGAGAAGAGCGACACCCTCGTAGTTATCCCACTTGCTGAGATCGCCTTTTTGATATTTTGGTCAGAAGTTCTTCCTTCCAGTCTGTTGGTACTTGTTCTTCATCCCAAATATTACAGAAGAGAATGTAAAGTATCTTTGCAGTTGCTGCTACATCTGCTTTCAGTGCCTCTTCCGGAATGTTGTCTGGTTCTGCTGCTTTACCGCTCTTGATTTGCCTGATGGCCATGCTGATCTCTTCGATTGTTGGTGGTCCAACATCAATCGGGAGGTCCGTGGATTCTACTTCGATGTTATGTGGTGTCAGTGGAGCTGATCGATTCAAGAGTTCTTTGAAGTGTTCTACCTACATGTATCGTTGTACTCTATTGTTAGTGATCACCCTGTCTTCTTTGATTTTCACTGGTCGTTCTGGCTTACGGTAATTTCCAGCGAGTTTCTTTGTTAAACCATACGAGTGTCTCATGTTTCCTTCTCTTGCAGCGTTTAATGCCGTCATTGCTAAATCTTTCACATATTTACGTTTGTCGGCTGTGATACTCCTCTTCAATTGCTTGTTAACGTCAATGTATTCAGCTTGTGCATTGTCTTTTCCTGCTCTTGTTCTGCCTGTATTGATTGCTGACTTCTTGTCCCTACTTTCTTCAATCTTATTCAATGTACCAACAGTGATCCATTTCTTGTGATGGTGCTTTTTGCGGTCCAGAACCTCCTGACATGTTGAAGTGCTTGCCTCCTTGAGTCTTTTCCAGTTGTTCTTCATAGCAGTCCCCTCTTCAATGAAATGAAATGCCTAGAACGTACTACCGAGGGCTATCTTGAATTCGTTGAGTCTGTTAGCATCTCGGAGAAAAGTCATATTAAACTTTTGTGGTGTTGTCTGTCCCGTTGTCCAGTGCTTCTTGAGTTTCAGTTACATTTTAGCGACTAGCAAGTGATTATTTGATGCTATATCAGCTCCTCTCTTGGTTCTCACGTCCTCCATCGTCCTCCTGAACTTCTTGTTGATGCAGGTATTGTCGTTTTGATTTTGTGTAGTATGTGATCCAGTGAAGTCCATGTGGTTTGTGAATTCATTTATGTGGGAATATAGTACTGTTTGTGACCAGTTTATTGAAGTCACACAGGTTTTCAAATCTCTGATCATTTTTGTTCGTTTCTCCCAGTCCATGTCGTCGCACGATGTTTTCATATCCGGTGTTGTCCATTCCAACCATGGGCCGTGAGAATCCCATCCTATAAGGTCATATTCTGCTTGTTTGCACAGCATCAATGCAACTCATTGTGCATGTGGTGCATTTTCTTTTTCATGGCCGGAGTATAACGGAAGCTACCCTGAAGCTAGTCGTTGTTGTCCAACATGCGTCCAATGTGTTTCACCGGTTCCAAGCACGTCCAGGTTGTATCTCCTCATTTCTGCAACAATCTGGAAGACTCTCCATATGTACCACATAGTACGAGTATTCCATATACTTATAAAATTTTTGCTCTGGCTGTTAGAAGTTGCATCAGCCTCATGACTCCCGAAGGAACACGGCTTTCATCATGAGGCGTCATAAATCTTCTAATTGAGGACCTTCTAAATCCCAGGGCAGAGTTTAAATGATTCTAATAATTTTTTCTGGTCAGCGTTCCTTTAGCGACTTGGTTTTTTACGGGATGGGGTCGCCAACCCTATGCCCAACCCCCCCTTTTTACGAGCTTGGAACCGGCAGTCGTCTCCAGATGGGGTACAGGCGGAGTTACTTCAGTTGGTAATAACGGATAATTTCGGTCACGGGGGAGGTCCTGTTCTATGTGTTTGGAAGCAAAAAGAATTTCAAGCACATGTTACCTGGATCGTGGATAATTTGTGATATGCTCGTGTCCTTGCTGTTATGTGCCACTTGCATACATAAGAAGACGAGCTCTTACAAGTAAGCTCGATCAATTACGAAATATAAACTGCATAGTTCAGAATATTCTTAGACATTGAAGTCGATAGAAGGTAAATAACACTCACACCTTCCATGATAACACAACATTTTCACTACCCAAACGAAGCAAATAGTATGTACAGATTCAATGAAGCCACTTTTTCTACTTAAGAATCATCAGTAAGTAGGTAAGACTGTAGTTTCTCTAATTCTTGCTTTTGTGTTGTATTCCTTAGGATAGAAAATATAGATCAAAATATAACAAAATGTGGATAAATGCCAGGAACTTTTTACTACATGTTCTCCATAGTTGTATTTTTAACTTAAATATATATCCAACTTGCAGACTGATTTTTCTGCATCATATTTCGCTTTTTCTTTACCACTAGTAATGATTCATCGATACAATTTCTCCCAAATTTTATATTCGTCTTCTTCATAGTTTCACTGGGAGATGTACTGACAATTTTAACGGGTGTATGTTTGTGAACATTAAAAAAGATTTTGCTTTACAAGTACCCGTCTACTTACGAAAACTCGTAATACTGCATCAGTTTAGACGTTTCGCTAGAATGTTGTTTTGTATAAATGAGCTTATTCATTATGACAATATATCCAAATAGATACTTGTAGTGGAATTGTTTCCTGACCACAGAGTCTTCGCCATTCTGTGCGAAATCCCTTACATTTTTTAAAGCGCGCGTCACTCTCTAAGACTTTAAATGGGTTTTAAAGTCTGGAACGTGTCGAAAATTCTTGAATAAAACACTTTTAAGGCAATATTATTCACCAAAAGGCTATGTACGAAGATAATAGACATTGTGTTTTAGTGTATAAAATGTGTAATATGTTTAGTTGTTAAAAGCTGTTATTTCAACTTTTCGTTCTTTGGATATGCTTTTTCGGTCCTGTAGACTTGTTTTGAGATTGCGCAATGTCTACAAACCGAGTGCTTGCTTTCTGAGCGGAAAAAGACAAATTTTACCAGTTGGTACACAGAGATCTGTCACTTACAGGTAAGCGCCATGAAATAATGTAAATAATCTTAGAAGACCGATCATCCTAAGAAATCATGATTGGCCTTTACTGTCTTCCAAACGTTTTATGTGTAAGTTTATCAGCTGAATAACTTTATAGTACAGCTTATCCTCCACATCAAGTAATTAAACTTCCCAACCTGTCTCCTACAATGGAGACAGGTACAGTTGTAAGCTGGGCAAAGAACGAAGGCGACGAAGTATGTTCACTTCACTTTTGTTAATCTTCTAGGTTTGTGAAGGTGACCTACTTGCTGAAATCGAGACGGACAAAGCGACCATGTCGTTTGATGCCAATGAATCCGGATATCTTGCGAAAATCTTGGCTCCTGCTGGAAGCAAAGATATACCTGTCGGAACAGTATATTTTCCCGTTATGTTATTTTAACATTCTAGGCTCTCTGCATCGTAGTTCAAGACGAGAGTGCCGTTCCGGCTTTTAAGGATTATGTGACAGAATCAACAGTAAGTTTAAAGTTGGTATTCATGTATATTTCAATTCCGTTAAATAAAATATTTCCCTAAACATCTGTCTACAAAGTGCATATTGAAGTATCAAAATATCTACCTCGGAAATATAAGTGTATTTCTGGAGTTAACTTTAGTATGTTGCAACACTTAGGTGTCCCCAATATCTTTATGTTTCGGTCCATACGTTTACAGTCCTGACATGTACTGGTGAGGTAAATTTTGAATTTAAATGTAATTCAATATGGAAGAAGTTAATCTGTTAGTTTCAGGCATAATTATTGTAGTCCTAACAATCATCAGTCATATTAACAACATTCAAAACACTATTTTTCATGTTAATTTGGAAATAATATGGATATTGTAAAATAAACTATAAACCTGCAATTTAAGAATCAACCAGTATTTTTTGGTGACTTTTATACCTCCGATATCAATGTAAACGAACTTTTGTTGTAATTTTTATACTTAGTAGTGACAGGTTAGTTCTCTTTTAATTAGTTCATAGTTAAACAGTCCAATATGCAATATCTCGAATGTTCTTTCAGTATTGTTTATTAATGATCATGCTTTTTGTTGTTCAACTATGGGTTTGTGCTCAAATCACACTAGTAAGGTGGTGACTTTTTTGTTAAGGTACTCGATTTTCAACCCTTAATTTGCAGATTCGTACCCCCTTCCGTGTATCTCTGTTTGGACAGCTGATTAGTATCACTACTATTCACTCAATCTTGAGTACGTAAACCTGTAATTTTTATCCAAACTACATTTGATACTAACTAGCCAAGCTAACACCCGTCTAATTTTTTTCAGCCAAAACCTCTGTGCAAGTTTCTAGCATATATTTTCACATCAATCGGTGGCACGATAAAAAGCCCTACTAACATTTTGGGAAATATTAAGAAGGTACAAATACGTCACTTAGAAATACTAAAATTCATCCTGCAACTTCAGTCGCACATTCTTATTACCTAACTGAGCTCTTAGCAATAGATTACGCTGTCCATAATAATGTGGAACGTACAGCGTTCGTCATTTGTTTTTTCAACATTTATTCAAACCTCTGTTCTTTGGGTAGTGAATCTCAATTATTGCATCCATTAGCTACAATCTGGAATAAACTTAATGAACCACTGTAAATAATTGTTCATATGCCTAATTAAGTAAGTGAATACTCTCATGTCTATAAACAATATATCATATGTTCCCGTCCCGTTATTTTGCCATCCTAGGCTCTCTGCATCATGGGATAAAACACGCATCCTGGATTCCTCTGCTAGCCATTATCTATCTTTGCTTATAATGCTTGTGAATTAAGACAATATCGAGGCAACACACACAGTAGGAACATAAGCCAATAAGAGGCTGATCAATCGCAGTCCTAAACATCAATGGGAAGATTCAAGTTAACAATACCAAGCGGATTTATACTTCACATCATTGCACACGCAGGTGACTATCGGGACTCAGTAGCTAAGTGGATAACGTGGTAGCGTTTGAAGCGAACGGTACAGGGTTCGAGTCCCAGAGTGAACACTAGCTCTGTGGTGCAGGCACATCCAGCTGACGAGTCACAAATAGGACGAAACGCGCGTCCTGCTTTTCACTGCTAGCTACTATCCGTCTTTGCTTATAATATATTAAATGGTTTTTGTAGATCCAGTGCCTTCGTATTATTTTGTATAAGGCGTATATATGCTTCATATTTCATTACATTACAACCGTGTTTATTTTTAAATTTTGTTCAGGAAAAAGTTTCTAGTTCAAAAGCTGAAGAAGTACCCAAGCCTCAGGTCGCTCCTGCTGTTGCTCCTCAGCCTCCACCAGCTGCACCCAAACCTATTGCTCCTGCTTCTAAAGCACCAGCAACCGACGAAAGGAATGTCGCCTCACCGTTCGCTCGTCGTCTGGCCGCTGAAAAAGGACTCGATTTATCAGCTGTAACTGGCACTGGCATGTACGGAATGATTCGTTCGACTGACTTAAATCTTGAATCTATTGATCAAAAAGCTAGCACAATGACTAGTGGTCCAATTTCAAGCTATCAAAAATTCGAGGATATTAATGTTAGCAATATGCGATCAGTAAGCGTGTTTATAAATTCATTGAGTGGATTTGTGTTTTAGTTTCATGATATGTTTAGTACGATTGTATTAAAACATAAGGTGTATTCCTACTCGATTACTTGAATCAGGTCGTCAACTAGTTTTTCAGGTGAGGGATTTTGTTTGTGTCCCTTTGATATAGTAAAACGACCAGTGTTTATTTGTTATAGATCCAAAGTAAATTAGTTTGAATATTTTTCATGCTTTTATTAAGAATAACGTTGAAAATACTGGGATTCAATTTCACTTTAGAATGCGAACGATTAATACTGAATAGACATACTCAAGTTTATCCCTTGAGATTCTCTAAAAGTTAGTTTGTCACCGCTTTTGTGTTTAACCACATTGGGCTTGTTCTCTTAGTTCGTTCGATGTCGTTCAGTCATAAACAACATATAACCTGATACATATATGCATCAACCCAAGCTGTCACACCACATCTACACGTGGCGATGAAGTCTGATGAGTATCTGCAGATGAGAACTCGAAACTCATTTATAGAAAGACACCTAAAACAAAATTAGTTTGAAAGGAAGTTAGCAAGCACCTTTCTTATTGGAGAAGTTATATGACAGTTACGCGTACTCTTATCCCAGAAAACCTAGAGAAAACTAAGTGCAGCCCGACCATGACTTCATTTAAGTTCACAGTGTCATTGAACTTTTGGTCTGAGTTGTCAGATGGAATAAAGATCTGGTTGAGGAGTTCATTGTACCCAGCTAAAATCCACTTACTATTTATCCTTTCATCATTCGTTTTTGGCTGCTTCTCATTGATTGCTGTGTTAATGAGGGCAGTACTTGTCTGTTGACATTTGTTGGTTTCGTCTGTATTTACATAAAGGGTAATATTTTAAATTACTAAATATTTGTTCTAGTTCCCATTCTATCCCTACCTATTTTTGGATTTACTTTTCAAAGCCTCGTGTGACCAAGAGAGTTTTGTCAGTCTCCTAAAGTTAGACTTAATTTCATGATGCTTTCACTAAAAGCTATGCATCACGTCAAATAAATGTAATATATTGGCATGTGAAGATCTATTCGAAAAATCTTTGGCCAGACTGCAAAGCTTACAATCCCATTAATCTTTGGTTTGTTTTTGAAATAATATCAACAGTCAGATAATCACTGATCTTGAAATTGTGTCTATATGAACGAGAGAAAATGTGTGATAATCGATGCTCAATAAGACAACTTTAGCTGCTTTGTTAGATGTAGCAATCCAGACGTTCCATTCTGTTTATCTCATCTTTATCGTCGTATCCCGTTTGTATGATATAGATAGGTTGGGGGGGGGGAATTTTATCAAATTGTGATTTTTATCCATTTCAATCAACCTCAACAACTGGGTATTGATATGTAACAACCTTTCATATGGGGTAAAATAAGCGGCATATTAAATCCCATTGTTGATTTTGCTTAGTTGCAATTTTGTTTGATAAAGTGTACATAACCATTTTTCTGAGAGATGACTGTACCCACGTTCATGTCATTGTGACTTTTGACAATATGCGATGCTTGAATGAGATGGTGTTATATGAAAATTGTTCGGTAAATTGTATGTTAATCAATGCCCTGGTACTGCCGAGAGTGGGGAGAGTCCGCTTTCCCTCTCGAAATGCTCCCACATGGCCACGCGAATATATAGCCTCTGCTAAGGAAGTCCTGCTCACTGCCTTGTCTCAAAGGGAGTGTTGTTTACGAAATTGAGAGGACGAAAAGCGAATGTCCGACGCTTTAACCGGGTTGGTGGACACGGAGGGTCCACCTAGGGGAGTTGGAAAACCCTGATTCCAAACCAGTGGTGCACATGGGCTCCAGCATCCTGAAGGAACGAATGGCGTATGAACCAATCGTCGGTCACCGGCTACCATGGGACGGCATCTCTTCACGATGCTCCACTGCCTTGTGGATCAGATCTTTAGGTCAAAGGCTCCGGGTGTGGTCCCCTAAGAAAACTACCTGCTTCAGTTTGGACACCTGAGCAGTATCTCAGATTTCACACAAATCGAATGAGATTTGTGCGTTGTATATGTATCTGGTGCTTCCTTGTCCCAATATTTATGTGTTTAAGTAAAATAAAGTGTTAACCACATGATATTTTGTCCAACTCATGTCAACATCAATCAAAGTTCATTGATTTTTTCTCAGTAATCAACACTGCCACTAATTCTCCATGAATTTCTTCTTTTCCATTTAAGGTAATTGCTAAGCGATTAACTGAATCAAAACGAACTATTCCACATTATTATTTAACAATGGATATTCAAGTAGATGAAATTTTAGAAATACGTTCTAAAATCAATTCAAGTTTATCCAATTTAAACGATTCAAAATCTGTTGAACCTGTGCCAAAAATAAGTTTAAATGATATTCTTATAAAAGCAGCTTCATTGACATGTTTAAAAGTACCTGAGTGTAATTCATCTTGGCATGGTGATTTTATCCGACAGTAAGTTTTTTTTATGTCGTTTCACTGTTTTTAATGTTTGTTTAAATTGGATTCTGCTTGATATACGTAATAGATCTTAATCAGTCAGTCAGTCGGTCACAACGTAGAACTTCGTACGTACGTACATCAGTTCGAGTTGCCATACCACATTAGCACAGAGATGAAGTTGTCGATTCAAATCCGATAGTGGTAGAAGTAGTAAGAGTATAAGCATACAGTGAAATAAATTTGGAAAGATAAAAAAGATAGAGACATAAGGAATTCAGAAGGTTAGAATTTGATAGAACACAAATAATGAATGCACCTTCTCCATTGCAAACGATTTTTAGCCATGTCATTCAAATTCTCTAACCATCGGTTGCTATCATCATGAAAAATTCACCAAGCTGTTTTATTTATAGTTTTTTGTCAGAAATTTATATTTGTTATATCTACTATAGTTGACTATTTTATTTGAGTAGTGATATTTAACTCCAGTGGAATGATGCAGTAAATGTGTAGCTCAGAATGAAAATTTTGAGGATCAGAGATCAGATCAAAGCTGGAGGCAACCACAATAAATATGTAAACAACGGTCACATACCTACGGACAATGACCAATCGTTTATGCAAAAAATCTTAATAACTAACTCACTTCTTATTCAAGTGTGTACTAATGATGTTGTCAAGAAAAACAGTGAGACAATCCAGTTTAGAGGACAAAACACCTTCGATGGTCGACTCTATTTATTATGTCTACGGATTACTTAACTAACATTCTTGCACTGGCCATTTAAAATCGTGAGTCGGATGACCGAAGTAAGAACGCGAAAGCGTGATATAAGGGCTTAGTTGACCCTCACAGCAAGTCGAAATGACATAGAAATACAGTAATTTTTGTATTATTTAGTTACAGTCAGATTCCCAATCGTAGCTACTGCCTTGGCGTGGGGTCAGACTTGTCCATTGTGATAATTCAACTGAGCTATGTTGACTGAAACACTTTTCCCTTAGGTCCTACCATGCCATGCAGATCAGTTGGAGAACGGTAAGATTAAAACCAGCAACTTGGGGTCGGAGGGTGAAGTACTGCTAACTGTCGAGGGGTGTGACAACAGTAAGATATTTCCCTCGGACAACCAGCCTCTGCAACGACGCTGTCTTCCCACAACAGAAGGGAAAAGTTTGACCTTAAAAATGTCACATCCATTATTACCCCACAGATTTTCGTCTTCGGTGTTAAAGTCTTTTGAAGTCCTGAGGTAACACATCAAAACTCTATAAAGAGGCTATGCGTGACCGGCTACAAGCAGCCGTCCTTTGAGCTCTACGGTTTCGCTCCTGGGCCTCTAAGATCACTAACAATTTATTTTCCTTTTCGGATCCCTTAAGAAGAAGTATCCTTTCAATAGGGGAATGACACCCTCCCTCACGCTTGCCGGAACTGACTACAGGAATATTTGTATGAATTGGACTGAGTGGTATTTAACATCAATTAATTGATAAGTAATTCATTGAATACTCACAGGGGTACGATATTATCAAATTAACCGTCCATGACAAACAGATTTAACTAATATGATTACTTGTGAACTATTGGGATTTACTTATTTAAGCTTGTTACCCCTCGTGGAGCATAGGCCACCGTTCTGTTCAGGGCTCTTCTTTGTAGTCGCTGCTAAAAGTGTTGTTCATTATTTTATGTCTGCTTCCAAATCCCTACCGAACGTGTTATTTTGTCTGCCTTTTTATTGTCTCCTCGAGGACTCCAAGTTAGGGCTTGCCTCGTGATGCAGTTTCATGATTTCCAAAATGTGTGTCCTATCCACCTCCAGCTTATTTTCCTAAATTACTCTTCAACTGGAAGCTGATTCGTTCTGTCCCATAGTAGGTTGTTACTCATGGTGTTTGGTCAACGGATCTTGAGTGTCTTGTGTAAACAATTGTTAACAAATATCTGTACCTTTCCGATGATGTAACAGTTCTAGAAGTTTCAACGCGGTAAACGATTGCTAAGAGAAATCAGTTTCATGTATTACGTCGTTATAATACCAGTGTTCAAAATCTTAATATTAGTATGTAAAACTCATCTGAAGGAAGCATACATTACAACAGTGGGTCGTGCTATATTATACACCTCTAAAATACGGACGTTTAGAGTTGCTTACATGATTTTGCACGTGTTCGGTAGTCACTGTCTTAGAACTGTTGTAGATCAACTGGTCAGTGTTGGATTTAAATTTACGAAAATTTTGACGAGGAATTATCGTAAGATGTAACTATAATGTATGTAAACATGTATTCACTAACTCTATAATATTTGTTAGCCTGTTTTATAGGGTAGGTAGCTAAAAAATGTGTATATGAATGTACATCGACAGATAAACATAATCGATATAGAGCTCAAGAGAAATGCACTTAGTCCAAGTCGCTATACTTGATTATCACGGCGAGAGACCGAAATGATGTAGTAATAATCATGAAAAGAAAGATTAATCACTAATAATATAATTTGACAAGACGGAATGGGAAGGTATTAATCAAAGGATACTAAAATTTAAGATCGAGAGGAGGATTTAGAATGAATTTAACTGGACCCAGTGCTAACTCCTCTGACCCGTCACCCATATTCTCCAATCGCTAATCGCAGTTATGCAAATCTCAGTCAGGTAGTCTGCATCTACAAGCACAACCAACAGTTTATGACTTCATAGCTTGGTGTCACGTTTCGGTCTATCCTCTCTTAGCTTTCTTCTAACCTACTTCAGCACTAGCAAGCTTAGCCCGTCAAGGTAATCAGTGGTTAGGCATACGTTACACATGTACATGACCATTGACAGTAACAAATTCATAGAGAATTGAAACTTCCTTTATGATTTTCATTTATTTTGCCTTTTTGATTCTTTCTTTTACTTTGTGTGTGCGTGTGTGTAGATACCATACTGTCGATGTAAGTGTAGCTGTGGCTATTCCTTCTGGATTAATCACACCAATAATATTTTCTGCAGATACCAAGGTAACAAGAATTTAATTGTTTAACTTAATCTTTTGTGCAATTGGTTCCCTTTATGAATTTAAATAAAGCAAGAACAAACATTGATGCAGAATAGTATGAATTCATATTATTTCGAGGTTTCTCGTCAGCTGCTTACAAACCAAAATTGTGATAGAATTTTTACATGAAGATAGTGTGAAACAATTGACATAAATGAGTGTAAATAACGTGATTACAATAATAACTATATATATATGCTAGAAACAGGTCAGAGGTCAAAAGAGGGAGGTTAATCCAGGGTGGGTGGTGTAATAATTTAGTGAAGTTCATAAATTGTGTGATAATTGTAGAGATTAATGGAATTGACTAATGATAAGGTAGATTACGTAATAATAATTAAATAGGGTTTGGAAAGTTAAGATGATTTAAGAGGATCAGGTGGTGGAAATGTGTGAATAAAATTTATTTTAAGAATTAGGCAATAGGGGGGGAGTGTAAAATTATCTTAGAATAAGTAAATGAATAAAATAACCAAAACACAAAACAAACAGAAACAAAAGGATTACCAGGGTAGTGATAAGTTTATTAAAGTCTCTTTTTGGATGCATAAGTCCGGTTTCAGTTTCTTAATTGCAATGGCTTCAGCAAAGCGGAGAGCGGTAGTGGTTCTTTGTCTATTGATAATTTTAAACGCGCACATAATATCGACGGTATGCCCGGTGTCAAGTAGATGCCGAGCTATTGCACTGTTAAAAGCATATTCCGAAGAACTTGACGCTGCGAGGGACTAAAGCTGGTTGATGGTTGTAGTAGTTCTCCATTCATTTCGCTTTACAAAATACATATATGGTTTAACTGTCTACTGTGTCATCCTGTATTTCGATTACGTTTTTTCCTGTCGAACTGTGAGTATGGACAAAAGACTAAGAATGATTAGCAACTAATAAGAGATCCCGTTCAGTCTATCACTAGTTTCTAAATGTTTACGTATGCAGATAAATGAAAGAAAATAGACAATTGAAACTGGAACCACGATTATTCATTAGTTACATCAAGCGACTTTCATGTTTTCCATAACACATACAACTTGAAGTGTAACGACAAATTAAACATAGGTGCTCCATATACACCGGTGTTATAGATAATATTGTGAAGTGATACGAGTAAGATCGTTGAGTAAATAAATCGATAATTAAATATTAAATCTACAGTTCATTTAAGAGTATGAAGTCAGTCCATTAAAGCATTGACTGTTGGAATTAGCTTTGTAGGTAGGTGTCAACTACCTAGTTTGGTTTCACGTGATTATCGTGTTCAGTAGTTAGAGAATTTGAATGACATGGCTCAAAACCGTTTCTAGTGACCAAGTTGCACCCAATCTTTGTCTTCCCTTGTTTTTATTATTATTATCATTATATTTTCGTCTCGAATTGTATCTTGCATGCCTTATCTCTCCTATTACCGTTAATACTGTTAGTACCTTTACTACTCTGGGTTTAGTCCTAAAAAATTCCATCGTGGTTTGTTAATGGTTTATGACAACTTGAACCGACGTACTACACATGTATCAGGTTCTGTGTTGCGTTTGACTGGCAGCTCAGTTGAGAAAACAATCAAAAGGGATTCCATCCAATGGGGAAATTGATCTTACGTAGATGAAGAATATGATTGAAAACTGTTTTAATGTTACCACTTATTTCTTTTTTGTGCATGTCTGATAACATCTTAACCCACTGAGTTGGATAACATTTAGGACTCCTATACCCACCGAGGGAGTCGTGATTAACGAACAGATTCTAGTCTTATGTCACTGTTTTTCACTTTATAAACTGACCATCTTTTGGCTTTTTCCATTGAGTCTCAATGAATTAGTTGGTTTAAAAATAGAATTGATATACAGACTAATCGACACAAATACTTTATTTAATGTTAATTAATATTTCTAGCAGCTTCAGTCACGCAATCCCTATAGACATTCTGAATAGATGATGTTGTGTGAATATACTTATCATTCAGTTTACAAGGTGTTTCGTGTCTTATCAAGTAATTCCTAACATGAGATCAACTCATCCAAACGGATTACATAAAATCATAACTTAATTCACTAACAACACAAGTGGAAGGGGTTTTGTGGAGATTTCAGTATTTTCATAGTTGAAGTCATGAGTCAATTGAAGCTAGACCACCATGGAAAACCTGGAAACACTGGACGGTCGTTTCGTCCTATTATGGGACTCCTCAGTGGCAGCGCACATCCACGATTCCACCTCGCGAGCGGGACTCAAACCCATCACCTACCAGTCTCACGCCAGAGCACTTAACCGGTATGACGAAACGACTGTCCAGTGCTTCCAGGTTCTCCATGGTGGTCTAGCTTCAATTGGCTCATAATTTCAACTATGAAAACAACATAAGTGTTACGAGGTTGCCTCGTTAATTTGTGAATGAAAATAATCTTCATCTCATGCACAAACACAAACAACTATACTATAAAACTATGATTCTGGTAAAAAATAAAGTAATCCTCTTGAGATGTTCATCAGTCCGTCTTCTCTGATTTCATTGTTCATGCATTTTCATACAGATTGCGTTTCATTCCTATTCGTTCCTTATCGATCTTCTACCAAAATACATTCTATGCCTGACCATCACCATATACTACTTATATGGATATAAGTAGACCATACTATAATACTATTTCCTTTTATTCTATTTCTAGGGTTTAGTACAAATCAATAAAGAAATGCGAATGTTAGTTACTAAGGCTAAACAGAATAAATTAAAACCTCAAGAATATCAGGTGAGTTAACATTTTTGTTTTAAAATGTAAATTTTATTCAATTATAAAGATTAGTTCTTATTTCTTTGTATTAAGAGTAACTCATTAAAATGATCATAGAATAATATAAGAATAGATTCATTTGGACAATGAAGAGTATTAGTGTTGATACAATCTTGTAGTTCGTTTAATTATACACAGGTTCTGGAAAATCGACATACTTTTTGATATCCAACTATAGCTTTATTCCTTGATCTTAAAACAGCGTGCGATTCCGTTGATCATGAGGTTCTGTGGCAGTATCTGTCATTTAAAGGCATATCAAAGAAGTAATTTAATATTGTATGGGTTCTCTACTCGAGCACCTCTGGTCGAGTCAGAGCTTATGGTGAACTGTCATCAGAGTTGGTTACTTCAGATGATATTCGTCAAGGTTATTTGCTTTCTCCATTTTTATTTAACTTTGTCATAGACACGATTTTAGAAATAACACTCATCGCCTGTGTTGCAATGTGTGCATGCGTACGTGTTCCCTTTTTGATATGATGTGATGATCCCCGCCTATTAGAGAGAAGTGAATTATTGATCAGAGCAATGATATACAAAAGCCATATTAGTAGTCTTGAGTACTTATCAGTCCTGCTATCTGCCTAGCCCAACCAGTTAAGTTCAGAACACCAATAAAAGCTTCTGCGATATGAATCATTATTCTCAAACATACTGGGTTTATATACCAAACAAACTGACCACATCATACCATAAATAGTCCTCAAAGTTACCATTCATAAATCTCCACGGGATATAACAGTCTAACTTCTCAGAATTTGGTCTTCTATCAGGGGATTAACTTGTTAACTTAGAATACGCAGATGATATAGTCCTGTTTAGTGAAAATGCTGAAAAAAGGCAGAGTCTTCTGAACACCTTAAGCAACAATGCAATGATGTTTAGGATGTGGTTTTCTCCACGACTGGTTTCCGCCATTGGCTGAATTTATGATAGGTAGTGAGGAAGTTAAACGCATCAACCACTTCACTTATCTTGAGAGTTTAATCAGTCCTGATGGTCTGGTGTCTGACGAAATCTCAGCACGAACTCAGAATGCTCGATTGACTTTCGCTAGCTTATGGGTTATGGAAGATATCCGACTCTCAACCAAAGGATGAAATTACTGCTCAGCAGTTTGCTTCGTTCCATTTTATGGGTGTGGAACATGACCATTAAGAATGGAGGATATTTATAGGTTTCTAGTATTTGACCATAGATGTCTTCCACGACTTGTTCGTGTATTTTGGGACCACTGAGTAAGCAATGTTTGGGTTAGGAATAGGGTAATTGGTAAGCATGATTAAACGATTGATGAGGTGGTTGATACATGTGTTACATATGTCCAATCACGACCTAGTTCAACAGGCGATGCTATCTGGTGTTGAGGGTAAGCTGAAAAAAAACTAGGGACAACTAAACCGAAACATGTCATCAGTTCAGGAAGTCATTGACAATTGGACTAAGCCATGTTAATAGGTGTAGGTTACCACCACTTGATTGGGGTACGCGTGATTATCATAACCAATTGTTAGAGACTTCGAATGACACGGCTCGAATTTGTCTGCAGTAACGCAGGTGCATCCATTATTTGTCTTCTTACAAATTCCGAGATCCTAAATTCCTCAACTTTTTTTGTTTCTATCTCACTAATTTATATTTTTTCGAATCATATCTTTGATGCCTAGTCTTTTCTATTACTGTTGATACAGTTACTACCTCTGGTATTGAAGGATTTGCTCTGACAATTTCATCATTCTGTGCTAATAGAGTATGGCAGCTTGAACCGATGTGCATACGTACTAGGTCCTACGTTGGTACTCATTGATTTTACTCAACAAGAAACCTAGTGTATGTTTTAGAAATAAATTATTTAAGGGAGAAATTGGCGAATGCATCTACATTATTGTCAGAGATTTTCGATTGCATTTCATTCGACATTCCAAGCTACAAATTATTACTGTCTTTCTAACTGCCTCCGAAAAGTGTATTCCTCCCTAGATAGTGTAAAGTAGTATTAAGTACTTCCTTGAAATTGAATATAAGCTTTAAATATACAGCGCAATAGTTGAAAGTTAAGTGCTTTAATCAATTAATCATTGTCAGATTACATATGAAGCTCTCTTACATGAAAATGTAGTGTGTAAGATGGTTAGAAATAGTCAGTAAGAAACTTTAGACTTAGATTTCGTTCTAGTCAACATTTGTCAACAAGGCATAACAGTAATCTTTAGGGGAATTAATGCTGCTTGTGAGACTTGGACCGTATCATTTAACCTTAAATTTTTAGACATTACTACCAAGTTATTCGGGCCGCTATTGATCTCCTATAAATGAATTAATGATGAATTTGTAATGATCATAATACTTTCAATCAATTTATCATCTTTCTTTTTGTCTCAATTATTTTCTAATTATTTAAGGGTGGAACATTTTCAATTTCTAATTTGGGAATGTTTGGAATTACCGATTTCTGTGCTATCATTAATCCACCTCAAGCATGTATCCTTACCGTGGGTAGTACCAGACCGAAACTTCTACCAGATCATAAAAATCCTAAAGGGTAAATTTTATCAAATATTTTTAGTGTGTGTGTATACGTACGTGAATTTGACTTACATTTTTGTGAACAATAAGAAAATTCGGCTAGACTATAATTTATGGACAAGCCAGTCAGAGGCGCTTGAGGGATTTCAAGGTCACGGCACCGATTTCAGTGACTGGTGCTCATGTACGATCGGTTCACAGAGAATTTTTGAGAAAAATAGACGATTAGGCGGCTACAACAAAGGAGACTACTAAGAAGTTCCTGTATTTGTAACTACGGGTATTAAATAACTTGTAGACCTTGTAAAGACTACCGTGATGTTGTCCTTCGATGTAATATATGTTGAAGGAAGACGTTTGCTAGAATAAGAACCTTTATCACTCGATCCAGATTGAGACTGAGGCATATTATAATAATTGCCGCCAACTGTATAATAAAAGCACCAGTAACATTGGCTGCAATAATCACAGATGTTACTGAAGCTTCGGTTGTTCAGTGGTATGAGTATTGTAAGGGCATATCCATAATAAAAATGATAAACTTAGACAACCGTAGTGTTAAGTCGGCTTACAGTAAACTCTATCAGAGCCTCCAGAGGCTCATAAAGAGCCCCAACCAATCAGCGATTAATAGAAGCTATGCTACTAAAATAACGAGATCCTGATTGGCTGTTTAACACACTGCTACTATGGAAACTCAAGGTCTCGTAGTTACTATAAAACCCCTGTATTTTCTGTACATAAATGAATCCTGTAGTAAAGCGCTTCCCATACACTTTGTGCCTTCTCTCTGGTCTTCAAGTCGGTGTATAGTTCTAGCTCGGGGGTACGGAACTAGCTTAGGGAAGCAAATATGGCGTTCACAATCGGTCAGACGTAACAATTGGCTACAGCCTAGGTCAAATACATAATACGTAGTACACACAAACAATATTGAAGCTATGTGGTCGAGGCTGAGAGGGTTTTTGTGACCTTATCATGCCTCCAGAGACTGAGTATTATGGAGCCATATGGATGAGTTTCTCCAGCTTATGCATTGTGATTTTGGAACCTTTGAACCTTTTTCTAACCTTGACAAGTTTTTGGACCATATAAAAGAAGTATATCCACTTTAACTCTTTGGTTTTGTATCATATATTTTGACTCTATGCTGACTGTTTACTGATTGGCTAATATTTCTCAAGGTCATTTAAGATTCATTCAAAGGTCGTCCATAAATTATATTCTCACCGAAAATTCTTCAGTACATATTAATATGATTCAGTGACACTGGATATATGATAATATGACCTGATATTGAATCAATCATAAACTAGATTCATTAAATCATTAGATATGTGATTTAGGCACATCAGAACTACTGAATTATGGGTCAGAACAAAAGTTTATTGACACAAAACACAAATAATTAGTACACGGCAAAATCCGAGTTGAAATCCAAAAAAAATATATGTGCAATAATCAGTTTAATTACTATAGCTTGATGTGTCTACCTTGGCTCAGTATTGACCAATCATATCTCCCGGCACACTAACATATATTATATATGCTACTAAAGAGATTACAAGTTATCTAGTGTTTTTTTTTTATCGAGATCATATGAACCAGTTTTTAGGTTAAACATCCATTAAAAACCCGGAATCACTGTATAACTATTTCATCGTAGTATGAGCATCCTCAACAATGCACATCTATGATCTCGCAACCTGGTACCGAATCCAGGACCTTTGGTATCGCACCCGAATGTTTAATTTCCAGACCATGAATCTGGGATCCAATAGTATACAAGTATAACTCCGATGAAATAACAATATTACGTGTTCATCTTCCATTATCTCCGGTGGGTACCTTTTTGATATCAACATGGTTGAACTTCATTGATCACAGCATTTCCCCACGAACTCGTAAATTTCGTCTCAAGGCTAGTATTTAGTAAACGTATGATAATTATCAGTATGAGGTTGTAAATATGGATTGCTGAGAAGCTCCATAGTAGGACGAAATAGCTGTTCAGTGCTTCCAGGTTTTCATTGGTTTTCCAACTTCTCTAACTTGACCTCTACTCTATTTTGATTAATTATCCCCACCTTTGGTTTAGCGATTTTCCATTCATTCAAAGGTCTGTTTTATTTTCGTTAAATATCAAGTTTAACTTTAGACTACTGTGTTCTCCTTACATTCCATCGTTGGGGATTATTGTTCGGAGAGTTATTTGTGTATCCATATCAGTTGTCGCTTCATCGACTTCTCAATAGATTCTGTTCGTGTTAGAATATTCTCAATTGTTTGTAATTAGCACTTACCGTAGGTCAGACGGAATAAATCGCAAAATACAACAAATACATATATACACTGAATTAAAAAATGGATTCATCAATTCTTGTTCATTTAATATGTCTCATATCAGTATTCTAGTTATTCATTTCAAAAAAGTGACTGTCTGAACTTAGTAACTAAGTTGATAACACCTTGGTTGTTTGAAGCGAAAGGCATTGGATTCGAATCCCACAGTGAATACCATCAGTGAGATGTTGCAGCTATATCCGGCTGGTGAGTTGCAAATGGAACAAAACGCGCTTCCTGTATTTCACTGCTAGCCATAGTCCACCAATTCTATGTTACGCAACAAAATTGTCAATCAGAATATCGGTTTCTATAACCTCGTCCCTATGCTACACTAATGATTCATCAAACAACACTAGCAGCCCTGAGTCCTTATTGGTCCTATGTATAGTAACTTAAGCCGTTCAATCCACTGTAGTTGGTTTCTATACAATCAGACCAGACTGTATCACATCATAAAGTGCGAAATAATAATTATAAAAGGTCAAGCCAAAAGTGGCTATTAGTTAACGATATTATCATTGATTATATGTAGCGGTTCGCGTCTATTCAGAAGGAGGTACTTTGTGTACTACTAGGCGGCCATGAAGAGTAGCATAGTTGAAGAGAGTTGAAAAAGTGAAGAACAAGTCCAGTAGTCTCACGCACAATTCACTTACACTTACTACCGAATGCAATAAACAATAATCATCAATGACTTAAGTTTCGGATTTAAGACAATGTTAAAATAGAAACTGGAAGCATATAGTTAACATCTGTTACACAAATGTCATGCTTTATAAATGGTGATTGTCATTGATTTTCTCTTTTTTTTTTCTTCTTTCATCTTATAGATTTAAAGAAGCAAATATTTTATCAGTTACATTATGCTGTGATCATCGTGTTGTTGATGGAGCAGTTGGAGCTCATTGGCTTAGTGAATTTAAACAAATTTTAGAGAATCCAGCACTTTTTCTTATTTAATTAAATTTTTGTGTTAATATACTTATAACGAATCTTTTGCTCATCTTCTTTGCACTCAATAGAATATTTATTAGCATAACAACAAGTATATGAATAGATATACACCTACCCCTATCCCACTTCACCCCATTCATCCACACACACACACACATACACATACACACTTGAAGATCATTGAAATATCTGGATTAGGTGTAAGATGTAAGTTTCAAAAAAATAAAGTTTATTACGTCATTGATTATTCTATCTCTTGATAATTGATAATAATGATTATTATTATTGTCTCTTGTTGCTAGGATTATCTCCTTCATGTATCTCCCCTTATTACTCTCTTTTTTTTGTTCACTTTGTAATGTAACTTTACACTATAGTTATTTATATAGGAAGTTTTTTTTAAAAGTCAAATTTTATATTATACTTAGTTATAATATGTGTTATCAAATTGTCTATTATGTGTGTGTGAGTGTGTGTGCATACAGAGGTGGTGTATTTCTTTTCCTTTTTTATTTTGTAGCTATGTAAATAAAGGTACATATGTTCGCATTGGTTTCCATTGTTATGATCTCATATATATATCAGAATAGCGGAAATAGGCACAGTATAAACGATAGTAGAAAATGCCCTGGTACGACCGAGAGTGGGAAGAGTCCGCTCTCCCTCTCCAAATGCTCTCACATGACCACGCGTATATACCCTCTGCCTTCTCGTAGCACTATTGTTGTTTAGGAAATTGAGAGTACGAAAAATGAATGTCTGGCGCTTTAGCCGAGTTGGTGGACACGGTAAGTCCACCTTGGGGAGTTGGAAAACCCTGGTTTCAAATCAATGTTACACATAGTCTCTAGCATCCTGAGGGAACAAATGGCATATGAATCAGTCGTTGGTCACCGACTACCATGAGACTACATCTCCTTACGATGCTCCACTACCTTGTAGATTAGGATTTTCGGTTAAAGTCTCTAGGTTTGGCCCCTTAAGAAAACTACCTGCTTCAGTTTGGGCACCTGGGCGGTATCACAGCTCTCACACAAATCAAATGAGATTTGTGCGTTGTATATATATCTGGTGCTTCCTTGTACCAATATTTATGTGTTTAAATAAATAAATAAGTAAAATATAAATTGAGAATGAAGAATGAACTTGCGGAATGAGAAAGTTAATGGTTTTGGTTTATTGTGGTCGATTTTGAGCTATGACGCTTAAAATCTCCAATAGTTAATTACAATAATCATTCTGTCACCAAGTGTTAGCGAGAAATAAACTGGATTAAGGCACGTTATGTACATGATCGTGATGGCGCACGCTGACTGACTAATTATAAACCAATCAACTCTGACAGTTTATTGGAGAAGTATCTAGAAGTTTCTTATGCATATACTATGAATATATATGAACGTTTTTCTAACCATTGATTGATGTTCACCTACTCTTGTTATTTTGAATACGATTATGTTCCTGTTGAACGTGTTCTGATTTTAGGATCTTGTCGAGTGTCATTGTATAAGAATACTAAGCAATAAGAGTAGCTAAGTCGTTTATTAGCAAAACAATTATAACACAAAGTAAAGTAGTTTAAGACCCCAAACGTCCTGGCACGACTGAAGGTAGGAAGAGTTTACTCCCTCTTGAAACGCTCAAATATCACTACGCGTATATAACCACTACTAGGGATTATTTATTCACTGCCTTCTCGCATTGCGGGTGTTGTTTGCAAAATTGACAGAACGAAAAGCGAACGTCTAGTACTTAAATTAGGTTGGTGGGTACGGGAGGTCTACATATCTAAGGGTGTTGGAAAACCCTTATTTCAAACCAATATTTCACTCTTTTGTGGATGGGACCTCTTGATCAAGGTCTCGGGGTGTAGTTTCCTGAAGGATCAATCTGTTCCGGTTTAGATACCAAGATAGAGTATCCCAGCGCTGACGCGGATTTTGTATAGTGTGTATGCATTTTGGTGAAGCTTTGTGCCAATGTTTGTGTGTAATTAAGTAAATGGGTATTCTGAACCTACCAACAACAACCAATGATTTCATGGACTGATCTCATGTTTTGGATTGGCCCCTTCTCGTTTTCTTCTAATCTACTACACTAAATAACATCGCTCGTCGAATTAGGGCATGATTAGGTGTACGTAACATGTCTCAAACACTTCAGTCGATAAATAATATTCACTATCTTATCAGCTGACTTACCTGGTACTATGTGCCTAACATCAACGTTCCGCATACGGTGGTCGCAATATACGTAAGCAATGCTTTGAAAGCATCTACATTCATATACTAGTAAAATACAACCGTCCTTTGCTTCTAAAGCCCAAGTTTTAGAGTCATGAAGTAGAACAGAATAAGTTTTTACACAGTATGTTCATCTTTTGATTAGCAGATAGACATCTTACCTATGTCACATTTGACGCAAGTTGGTTGTCATAGGACTAGTTAGTTTATACTCTCCTGAAGTTGATACTTGTAATTTTCAAGTAAGTAGCTTTTCCACTAGATAGAAATTCTAATAAACAAACGACAAACCGATTCCTACATAATGTTATATCTCGAAAGTAAATTCCTGGTATGTCGCGTAATACTTGAACATTCGAACGCTAGAACTTTCCCAAATCGCAAAATGAGAAGACTAGTAAGTAGGAATGTTATTCACAGCACAGTATCAATTATAGTACAAAAAATCTCATGTATTTATGATTTTTTTGGCTGAAAGTAAATCACCATTTCGGATAGCCATTAGGCACATAGAGAATCCTTCTTATTCAACCAATAGGAGAGCTACACGTTGACATTCTAGAATGTTCCTCTATTGGTGATTGGATGGAATGTCTTTGGCTATTTCTGAGTTTCTTGAGGCTTCCTTGAGTTTGTTAACGAGCCATCCTTACATATAATATGTACATTAAATTTAAAATGTTCATTTGATTTAACGTTCCTATCCGTCAATAAAGTGGCATCGTGATTTCATGTACTTATAAACATGATGAAGATTTCATTGTATTAGATGATAGTAGCTGGGACAGAATTGAATGGAGAATGCTAGTGAGCGGCTTATGCTCCTCCACAAGAGGTAACAAACGTAAGATCGTGGAAACAAAGTGTTTACATATGATGATAATATTTAAACGAATCATCATTATTCAAGAAGCATATTCAATTAGTTATCATAGAAAAGACATATCTTATTTCGTAACACATAGAACAGTGTTAATCGCGATTGATCGGTGTAAATCAAGCATTCATATTTGAGTTAAACGTCTACCATTTCAGATTATTTGATTCAATCCTATACTGGTTATTACTCTGACCCGTTTTACTTAACTACCAATCATGAAATTGCAACAGTTTATGTAAACAACACTAACCCTCGTTATTGATTCATTTTGTTGGGTCTCTGCTACTACTTAGTTAATCGTTTGTGATGGAACTATAAATGAGCATAATCAAAATTGAAACAGAATTATATACAGTAAGCAAAGAAGGATAGTGGCTAGCAATGGAATCCAAGACGCGCGTTTCGTCTTATTTGGGACTTGTCAGCTGGATGTTCCTGCATCTCAGAGTTGATATTCACTCTGGGACTCGAAACCAATACCTTTCGTTTTAAAATATATGCAGAATATAAAAGTTCATCAGTTTAATTGTGAAACTGAATTAACTAAATTGGCTGAACGTTTTCATAATGTATGATCGAGCTACTGATTACAGTAACGTTTCGTTCTCTGCGTTGGACGGATTCTGACATATTGAATATTATGGTGAATTCAGTTCCCTTCATATCCTAAACTACAATCAAACAATATTGATTACACAACGGGGTTTTGTGGAGATTTTCGTAATTTTATATAGTCAAGATCAGGAGTCAATTGAAGCTAGACCACCATGAAAAACCTGAAAGCACTGGACGGCCGTTTTGTTCCTATTGTGGGACTCCTCAGCATTGCGCTCCATGAGGTATTTCCTAGAGTTCTACTGAGAAGCAGTAACCAGCGGAGTTCAACCAAGTCCGTTGGGAAATATCAACTCACTGAAGACATTGGTGAATGGTTGCTCAATTTTTAATGGATTGGTTGAAGTTAGACATTAACACCGTTGGATGCCGGTTCAATGGTCTAGAGGTGAAATGTTCGCATACGAGACTGATAAGTCCTTGGTTGGGATCTCGCGAGGCGTGAATGTGTACTGCTGAGGAGTCCTACAAAAGGACGAAATGGCCTTTCAGTGCTTCCAAGTATTCCCTGGTGGTCTAACTTCAATTGACTCATGATCTTAACAATATAACTTATTGATTACACTCATATTCTTAGCATTCCACTGTTTTGTCTTTCTAAGAGTATTTAATAATATGCACACTTTTCTAATCCGAGTGCCATAACTTAGATAGTTGACAATCAATACTACTTATTCCTCGTTTTAGGTACAATATTAATGTTCACTGTACAGTCTTCTTCTGAACTAATTTAGTCAATTATTAGCTTTATTGATTTTTCGTTTGATATTCAACTTATAAGGGTTACTAATTGGATACCGAAGTGCATGTGTATAAGCATGTTCATAATGTGTATGTAAGAAAAAAATCGAATAAATCACAAGGTCAACTTTGTCATGAATGTTTTTCAGTATATATTTAGTTAATAAATGTTCATCTTATTTGTTTTACCTTTCATGTTAGATAAAAACCATAAAATAAATAACTTCGTAGGTATTCAACATGGATACTAGCCTTTAATGAACGTTGTTTCAACGAATATAGTCGATGAAACACCTTAGCAATATCTCGATAGAACTGATATGGAATGCTTCTCCTACCCTCTAGATAATCAACTTAGTAGTAATTTTATATCTATCTGCTCTGATAAGGCCGAGAGTGGGGAGAGTCCGCTCTCCCTCTCCAAATGCTCTCATATGGCCATGCGTATATAGCATCTGTCAGGGAAGTCCTACTCACTGCCTTCTCGCACCACGGGTAATGTTTACGAAATTGACGGAAAGAAAAGC